GGTTTTTACCATGTTGGCCAGGCTGATCTCCAACTTCTGACCCCAAGTAACCCGCCCATCTCGGCCTCCCAAAATGCTGGGATTACAGGCATAAGCCATGGCGCCCAGCCTCCAGACATCCCTTGACAGAGCTGTGTCTCAGGGCTCTCCAGGGACCGGGGGCCAAAGGCTTTGTCCCCAGCCAGACAGCCTCACTCCTGGGATGACTCTGCCTTCCCAGAGCCTGGTCTTCAATCAGAACCCGGGGATTAAGAGGCTCTGGAAAGTCAGGGACCAAAACCCGCGCTGTCCATCTGGAGATAGTGGGAGGAGGCGACGCCTCAGCAGAGACGGGACCTGCTTACCTTACACTCGCAGCCCATCTGGTACCTGTGGTTCAGGCTCTTCTTCTGGGTGGTGCTCAGGGTGTCCCAGGGCACGATGAAGTCACAGAGGGTGATGTGCATCTTGCCGTCCCCCTCGGCCTTTCCTGCGGAGAGACGGGATCACCAAGCTCAGAGCGAGGGACAAGTCCTCCTGCCCAGCTCCTCCACCCAGGGGTGCTGGGATTTTGCTGTAACGACACTGCACACTGTCTATTCTGAGTTCAAACATAATGGGTGGCCAGGTACGGTGGCTCACTCCTGTAATCCCAGCACTTTGGGAGGCTGAGGTGGGTGGATCCCTTGAGGTCAGGAGTTCAAGACCAGCCTGGCCAACATGATACTCCCTCTCTACTAAAATACAAAAAATTAGCCAGGTGTGGTGGCACACGCCTGTAATCACAGCTACTTGGGAGGCTGAGGCAGGAGAATCGCTCTTGAACCCCAGAGGCGGAAGTTGCAGTGAGCCAAGATCATGCCACTGAACTCCAGCCTGGGTGATTCCATCTCAAAAAAATAAAAAGTGGAAAAAAAAAAAAAAAGCCATAATGCATGTTCACTGACAGAAACTTAAACGTAGGAAACAATCAAGAAAAAATGTCCCCACTTTCATTACCCACAGCAAACATTTTGATGTATTTCCTTCCAGTATTCCAGTATTGATTTTGAGACAATCTTGCTCTGTTGCTCAGGCCAGAGTGCAATGGTATGATCATAGGTCACTGCCTTGACCTCCCAAGCTCAAGTGATCCTCCTGTCTCAGTCTCCCGAATAGCTAGGTGTGAACCACCACACACCCTGCTAATTTTTTCTATATGTTTTTTTGTAGAGACAGGGTCTTGCTATGTTACTCAGGCTGGTCTTAAACTTCCGGGCTCAAGTGACACCCTCACCTTGGCCTCCCAAAGTGTTGGGATTACAGGCATGAGCCACCATGCCTGGCCCCAATATTCTTTTAAATTAAATTTTATTTTTTAAAAAAGGATAGAGACGATGTTTCACTATGTTGCCCAGGCTGGTCTTGAACTCCAGAGCTCAAGTGATCCTCCCGCTTTGACTTCCCAAAGTGCTGGGATTACAGGTGTGAGCCACTGCGCCCGGCCAATATTCTCTTATATATGCATCTTCACACACAAAACATCATGCAGTATGTAGATCGCACTGTTTCCTGTTCTGTTTTTCACAAAATATTAATTCACAGGTGTTTCTCCCATTTGAGTTTAAACTTATAATTCTGCATTCTTCCATTATGAAGAGCCAAAGAATGGAATTTTTGAAAATTAGGAATCTGCTCTGAATTCCCTTCATCAGGCATGATGAGCTGTGGCTCCTTTCTGTACTTCGGGCTCCTGACTCAGCTGCCTCCTTCCTTTGCTGAAGACACTACATTGGCAATAGCCTTGGCATTTTCCAAGCAGGAGGAAAAGAACAAAGGAGTGTGTTCCAGTGGCGGACAGAACCTAATGACAGCTATGGAAATCATTAAAAAACTCATCCCTTAGGCCAGGTGTGGTGGCTCATGCCTGTAATCCCAGCACGTTGGGAGGCCAAGGCAGGCGGATCACTTGAGGTCAGGAGTTTGAGACTAGCCTGGCCAACGGGGTGAAACCCCGTCTCTACTAAAAATACAAAAACAACAACAACAACAACAACAAAACACAGCCAGGCATGGTGATGCATGCTTGTAGTCCCAGCTACTCAGGAGGCTGAGGCAGGAGGACTGCTTGAACCCCGGAGGTGGAGGCTGCAGTGAGCCGAGATTGCAACACTGCACTCTAGCCTGGGCGACAGAGTGAGACTCCATCTCAAAAAAGAAAATAAATAAAATAAAAACTCACCTTTCAGGCTGGGCACGGTGGCTCACGCCTGTAATCCCAGCACTTTGGGAGGCTGAGGTAGGGACATCACTCAAAGTCAGGAGTTTGAGACCAGCCTGGCCAACATGGTGAAACCCCATCTCTACTACACATACAAAAATTATCTGGGCATGGTGGTGGGTACCTGTAATCCCAGTTACTTGGGAGGCTGAGGCAGGAGAATCACCTGAACCCAGGGGACGGAGGTTACAGCAAGAAGAGGTCATGCCACTACATTCCAGCCTGGGTGACAAGAGCAAAACTCCATCTCAAATAAATACATAAAATAAAAAAAAAAAATACAAAAAATTAGCTGGGTGTGGTGGTGGGTGCCTGTAGTCCCAACTACTTGGGAGGCTGAGGCAGGAGAATCACTTGAACCCAGGAGGCGGAGCTTGCGGTGAGCCGAGGTCACGCCACTGCACTCCAGCCTGGGTGACAGAGTAAGACTCTGTCTCAAAAAAAAAAAAAAAACAAACCAGAAAACAAAAAACATCTCATTCCTTCTGCTACAACAGCACCTTGTGAAGAGACACAGGTGTCACTGATGAGCACCTGCCCCTGGCAGAGACTGACGGGCAATTCCTTGAGAAGCAGAGCCTCAGGCTCTGCCCTAAGCACTTCTGTTTGACAACGTTTCAGCGCATCTGACTTAATGATCTCAGCACAGCAGCAGCCTCAGAGGATCCGCTAATAGAAACGCAGCCCAGCGAAGGACTAACGCAGCTTGCCGACTGCACGCCTATGCCATAGAAATGTGGATGGCTTGCCTGGGACTTCAAGCAGGCACAAGTGGCCTCCACTGTCCTGGGCACAGTGCACTCATTGTGCCAGCTCCCTGGGTTTGAATTCTTACGCTCGCACTTCCTGTTCTAGCTGTTCCTTTACCTTCAGGTCCTTTTCTCCGTTTAGACTTATGTGACATTCCAGGTGTGGAACAGGATGAGAAAGCAGAATTACTCCTGTAACATTTATTCCAAATCCTATAACTTCACAAGGTAAATGTTTGGGTGGCCTTAAACAATTCAAAACTAGCTGGGCATGGTGGCTCACGCCTGTAATCCCAGCACTTGGGAAGGCCAAGGTGGGCAAATCACTTGAGGTCAGGAGTTCGAGACCAGCCTGGCCAACACGGTGAAACCCCGTCTCTACTAAAAATATAAAAATTAGCTGGGGTTGGTGGTGCATGCCTGTCATCCCAGCTACTCAGGAGGCTGAGGCAGGAGAATCGCTTGAACTTAGGAGGTGGAGGTTGCAATGAGCCAAGATCATGCCATTGTACTCCAGTCTGGGCAACAGTGCGAGACTCCTGTCTCAAAAGAAAAATAAATAAATAAATAAAAACTAGACATATAACTTTCCCCACTAGACCTATAGCTATTCTCTGTGAGTTCAGAATAGATCAAGAAGGAACAAAATAGACAGATGGGAAGGAACCCATTCCTGTATCCTGCTTGATTCTGGAATTTGGTGCCTGTACAGGTATACTGCAGCCCCTTCCCCGTCCAGCCTGGACATCTACCACTACAGTCAGGCTGAAGCTCTATCCTGGCTTCCCAACTTCTGTGGTGATTTCCAGTGTATGTATCACTTGACCAGCATCAATTCCCACTTTATATTAGATTTGCCTTTCTTCTGCATCTCACTCCTTAATCAGAGAGTAAATATAGAGGGTAAGGGTTGTGTCTTAACCCTTTTGTATCCACAGTTCCCTGCACATAGTAATTGCTTAATAAGTTTACTCATGAGACACACCCGTGCTTGTTCTAATAATTTGCTTCACATTCTGCCTTTTCCTGCCATTTTCTCTTTTGGCCCTTTACCACCAATTCTGGCTTCCTCAAAAGATAAGCAATGGCAGGAAGAAGAGATGAAGTGAAAATTATATCTTTTCTTTTTTTTGGAGATGGAGTCTTGCTCTGTCACCCAGGCTGGAGTGCAGTAGTGCCATCTCAGCTCACTGGAACCTGCCTCCTAGGTTCAAGCAATTCTCCTGCCTTAGCCTCCCAAGTAATTGGGATTACAGGTGTGCGCCACCATGCGTGGCTAATCTTTGTATTTTTTAGTAGACGCAGGGTTTCACAATGTTGGCTGGGCTAGTCTTGAACTCCTGACTTCAAGTGATCCACCGTGTCCAGCCAAAAAATTGTCTTTTCAATGGTCCTAGTTATTGGGCTAACGTGAACATGGCTATCATGTATAAATGTTAAGAGAGGGCCGGGCACGGTGGCTCACACCTGTAATCCCAGCACTTTGGGAGGCCGAGACGGGCAGATCACGAGGTCAGGAGATCGAGACCATCCTGGCTAACATGGTGAAACCCTGTCTCTACTAAAAATACAAAAAATTAGCCAGGCGTGCTCGTGGGCACCTGTAGTCCCAGCTACTCGGGAGGCTGAGGCAGGAGAATGGCGTGAACCCGGGAGGCAGAGGTTGCAGTGAGCTGAGATCATGCCACTGCACTCCAGCCTGGGCGACAGAGCGAGACTCTATCTGAAAAAAAAAAAACAACAACAACAACGTTAAGAGAGGCCCCCCTCTGGTCTGATTAAGACTTGGTTGGACGTACACATTATGAGCATCTGCCTGTTCTGCTTATGTCTGTCTTGGAGAAAAGCGAGGCATGAGTCTTGGTTACAGAAAACCAGGAATTAAAATTTGTAACGAAGGGTTGTATGTTTATTTTTTCTTTTGGAGAAGAGGAATGTAGAAGAAAATTACAGGGCCAATTCTGTATGAGTCTCCTGGTGCCCGACGCCACACGTGAGGCTGAGTCATCAGCCCAGGAGGAGGTGGCCGGCTCAGGCCCTGCGGGCACTCACCGGCCACAGTCAGCCCGAGCCGAGTGGTTCACTGTGCCCTGTGATTTCTGGTTAGCCCCTGGATCAAGGGCCTATCCTGACTCAAGGCAAACTGGATCTAGGTTCCTGCCTCAGGAAATAAATGCCAGATTCAGTGTGGAGTCATCTGACCAAGGCTGGGAAAGAAGTCAGATGAGAGAGGCTCCTCTCGCCACGAGGTGAGTCAGCCACCGTGGCCATTAACAGCCCCAGCCCTGCTCCCCCTCCCAGGGAGAGGAGGATGAAGTAATGCAGCCTCATTGGTGGAGAAGATACACAGCCAGCTGGCCACTGGGCAGGTCTCACAATCTTTAACTTTGACTTTTAGAAACAGGAAGTCCAAGTGCAGATTTGTTACACGGGTATAGTGTGTGTCCCTGAGGTTTGGAATACGAATGGATCCATCGCCCAGGTAGTGGGCATAGTACCCAATAGGTAGTATTTTTTCAGCCCTTACCCGGCTTCCTCCCTCCCACCTCCTTGTATTCCCAGTGTCTCTTGTTCCCATTTTTATGACCATGTGTACCCAATGTTTAGCTCCCACTTATAAGTGAGAACATGTATTTGGTTTTCTGTTTTCACATTAGTTCCCTTAGGATAATGGTTTCCAGCTGCACTCCTGTGGCCGCAAAGGACATGATTTCCTTCTTTTTCATGGCTGTGTAGTATTCCATGGTATATATGCACATTTTCTTTATCTAAGTCACCATTGATGGGCACTTGGGTTGATTCCATGTCTTTGCTATTGCAAATAATGTGGTAATGAGTATATGGGTGCAGTGTCATTAAATGATTTATTTTCCTTTGGGTATATACCCAGTAGTGGGATTGCTGGGTCAAATGCTGGCTGCATTCTCAGTTGAGAAATTGGCTCCAAAGCGTGCCCCACAGTAGGTGAACTCATTTACATTCCCACCAACAGCCTCTAAGCGCTCCCTTTACTCCACAGCCTTGCCAACGTTGGTTTTTTTATTTTTTATTTTTTGGGGGGGACAGAGTCTTGCTCTGTCACCTAGGCTGGAGTGCAGTGGCACAATCTCGGCTCACTGCAACCTCTGCCTCCTGGGTTCAAGCGATTCTTGTGCCTCAGCCTCCTGAGTAGCTGGGATGACAGGCACCTGCCACCACGCCTGGCTAATTTTTTGTATTTTTAGTAGAGACGGGGTTTCATTGTGTTAGCCAGAATGGTCTCAATCTCCTGACCTCGTGATCCACCCACCTAGGCCTCCCAAAGTGCTGGGATTACAGGCGTCAGCCACTGCGCTGGGCTGTTTTTAACTTTTTAACTAAAGCTCTTCAAAATCTTTCAATGTCAGCTTGCTACTGAGGATCCTGCCACAGATCCAGGGAGCAATGCCCTTTCAACAGAGCCTTCACGCTCATTCTGCTACAGGCTACCCTAGCTCTCCTTAGACCTTCAGCGTAATTCTGTATCGACTGACCAGCTTTTCATGCAGTCCTGTGCTACATGCATGGGTCACTGTCAACCCCACTGTAGGAAATAAAATGATCAGTTACCCTTGAGTGAGGCCTGAACAAGACAACCAGCATCTCTGTGATCCTCACTTCTGGTCTCCCACTCCCACTTTCACCCTCTCCACAACCCCTTGTGGGGCAGATACTACTGTCGTCGTTCCCCACGTATGGATCGGCATGGGAGGCACAGACAGGTAAAGTCACTTGGCCAAGGACATTAACGAGTCAGGTGTCAGGGCACACATTCGAACTCGAGCAGGTGTGTTTTCAGAGCCTTCACTTGGGCATCTCATTGTATTTCCTCACAGCTTTTCATGACACTTAGTTGTTACCTTTTTCTCTTCTAAAATAGAGATAGGGTCCCGCCCTGCCACCCAGGCTAGAGTGCAGTGGTGCAGTCCTAGCTCACTGCAGCCTCAAATGCCTGAGCTCAAGGGATCTTCCTGCCTCAGCCTCCCGAGTAGCTAGCACTACAAGTGCACATGACCACACCCAGCTCATCCCTCCCTCCCTCCCTCCCTCCCTTCCTCCCTGCCTCCCTTCTTCCCTGCCTCCCTCCCCCTTCCTCCCTGCCTCCCTCCCTTTCTTCCTTCCTTCCTCCCTCCCTCCCTCCCTTCCTCCCTTCCTCCCTGCCTCCCTCCCTGCCTCCCTTCCTTTCTTCCTTCCTCCCTCCCTCCCTCCCTTCCTGTTTTGTAGAGATAGGGTCTTGCTATATCATCCAGGCTGATCTTGAACTCCTAACCTCAAGCCGTCCTCCTGCCTCGGCCTCCCAAAATGCTAGGATTACAGATGTGAGCCACTGTGGTTGGCCTATTTATTTATTTTCTTTATGCAAGAAACTGTTCTCACTTGGCACCTTTAGTTCTATGTCCTCATCACAACCTCGTGCCTCCTCCTTGAGATACTAAGTAGTGTCTGAGTTTTAAAGTTAATGGAAATGTTAACAATTTCAAAACATATATAGAATCCAACTGAGAAGAGTATTACATATTTTGGAAACTTTAAAATGTATGCACATAAAAAGAAATAAAATCTGCCGGCCGGGTGCAGTGGCTCACACCTGTAATCTCAGCACTTTGAGAGGCCGAGGTGGGCGGATCACCTGAGGTCAAGAGTTTGAGACCAGCCTGACCAACATGGTGAAACCCCATCTCTACTAAAAAAATACAAAAATTAGCTGGGCGTGGTGGTATGTGCCTGTAACCTCAGCTACTCGGGAGGCTGAGGCAGGAAAATCGCTTGAACCTGGGGGGCAGAAGTTGTAGTGAACCAAGATCACACCACTGCACTCCAGCCTGGGCTTTGTTGCCTCCGTCTCATAAATAAATAAATAGATACAATCTGATCCATGCTACAACATGGATGAACTTGAGGACATCATGCTAAGTGCAACGCTTCATCTATGGAAAGAGTATGACTCTACCTGTACGAAGTGCCTAGAATGGGCAAATTCATGGAGATGAAGTAGAAAGGTGGTTGTCAGGGGCTGGGCAAACGGAAGAATAGGGAATTATTGGTTAATGGGGACAGAGTTTCAGTTTGGGATGATGAAAAACTTCTAGAAATAGTGATAGTCACACAACATTGTGAATATACTTAATGCCGCCCAGGTGTGGCGGCTCACACCTGTAATCCCAGCACTTTGGGAGGCTGAGGTGGGCAGATCACCCAAGGTCAGGAGTTCAAGACCAGCCTGGCTAATGTGGTGAAACCCCATCTCTACTAAAAATACTAAAAATTAGGCCAGGCACAGTGGCTCATGCCTGTAATCCCAGCACTTTGGGAGGCTAAGGCGGGCAGATCACCTGAGGTCAGGAGTTGGAGACCAGCCTGGCCAACATGGAGAAATCCCATCTCTACTAAAAATACAAAATTAGCCAGGCATGGTGGCGCATGCCTGTAATCCCAGCTACTCGGGAGGCTGAGGCAGAAGAATCGCTTGAACCCGGGAGGTGGAGGTTGTGGTGAGTCGAGACCGCACCATTGCACTCCAGCCTGGGCAACAAGAGCGAAACTCTGTCTAAAAAATAATAAATAAATAAATAAATAAATAAATTAGCTGGGTGTGGTGTTGGGCACCTGTAATCCCAGCTACTTGAGAGGCTGAGGCAGGAGAATTGCTTGAACCCAGGAGGCAGAGGTTGCAGTGACCCGAGATTGTACCACTGCACTCCAGCCTGGGCGACAGAGAGAGACTCCATCTCAAACAAAAACAAAAACAAACAGAGAGCCTCAGCATGGGCGAGGATTCAGCTGGGTATGTTTGGAGACCAGTGCTGGCTCAGACCAAGGTCGCTTTTGTACCCAAGAGGCCATCTGTGCATGGGATCCCCACCCTTTCGTCCTTCCACAGCTCTGCAGTTTGGCTGGAAAGCCCCTAGAGGGCAGTGTGAGGAAACTGAGCTGGGACTGCTGGGACTTACTTTAAAGGCTGTTCCCCATGGATAGGAAGAAAAAGAGGATGCAGAAAACTGGAAGTAAGTTCCCTGCACCATGGGGGATTTTGTCTCCTTTCTTGTCTCTCTAGATTTTATTTTTCTTATGACAAAAGTAATAAATGCCATAATTTTAAAGGTTTAACAAATACAGGAAAGAACTGAAAAGGAGACAGCAGATGCTAACACGCTGGGAAATTTCCTCCCATGCTCTGTTCCGTGCACAGCTGCAGCAGCCCCCGAATGCCACACTGCAGACCATCCCTCTGCCACGCGCCACTCTGTGTGCTGTGCAGCCACCCCAGCTCTTCTCCCTCCTCTGTGTTTTTTTCTGAGGGCATTAGTTAGCTGGTAAGATCTTTGCACCACAGGTGATTTTTGTCCCCTTACCCTTCTCCATTTGATTTTATTTTTCTTATTGTAAAAATCATAGATAATACTGGGCATGTAAAATGGTGCAGCTGCTTTAGAAAACGGTCTGGCAGCTCCTCAAATGGTTAAACCTAAAGTCACCCAACCCCTCCCCACCCCCCGCCAATTCCACTGCCAGGGATACACCCAGGAAAAATGAGAACAGGTCCCTGCAAAATCTCACACACCAATGTTCATTGCAGCATTTTTCGCAACTGCCAAACGGTGGCAACAACCCAAATGCCCATCAAATGATGAGAGGATAAACACAATGTGGTCTATCCATACAATGGAATGCTCAGTCATAGAAAGGAATGAAATTCAGATACACAATGTAACATGGATGAGCCTTGGAAACACGAAAGAAGCCAGTTACACAGGGTCACACATATTATTCCGTTCCTAGGAAAGCCCAGCATAGACAAATCGATAGAGATGGGAAGTATACCAGTGGCTGCTTAGGGCTGGGGAAGGGGAAGTGGGGGTTAGGAGGGTAATAGCTCAAGAATACAGGATTTCTTTTTGACTGTAGTGATGGGTGCACAACTCTGTGAATATACTAAAACCACTGAATTGTAGGCCAGGTGCGGTGGCTCATGCCTGCACTCCCAGCACTTTGGAAGGCCAAGGCGGGCAGATCACCCGAAGTCAGAAGTTCAAGACCAGCCTGGCCAACATGGTGAAACCCCATATCTACTAAAAATACAAAAATTAGCCAGGCGTGGGGGCACACACCTGTAATCCCAGCTACTTGGGAGGCTGAGGCATGAGAATTGCTTGAACCCGGGAGGCAGAGATTGCAGTGAGTCAAGATTGCGCCACCGCACTCCAGTCGGAGGAACAGAGTGAGACTCTCTCTCCAAAAAAAAAAAAAAAAAAAAACCACTGAATTGTAGATTTTATTTTTTTTAAACAAGGTCTTGCTCTCACCTAGTCTGAAGCGCAGTGGTATGACATTGCAGCCTCAAACTCCCAGGCTTAAGCGATCCTCCCATCTCAGCCTCCTGAGAAGCTGGGACTACAGGCACATGCTACCACACCTGGCTAATTTTTTTAGTTTTTGTAGAGATGGGGTCTCACTATGTTGCCCAGGCTGGTCTCAAACTCCGGGCCTCAATCAATTCTCCCACCTCGGCCTTTCAAAGTGCTGGGATTACAGGCATGGGCCACCATACCTGGCCCGAATTACACATTTTTAATGGATAAATTGAATAGAGTGTGCCTTATATCTCAATAAAGCTGTTAAAAAAAAAATAAGTGCTCATGGCTAAGCATGGTGGCTCGTGCCTGTAATCTCAGCACTTTGGGAGGCTGAAGCAAGTGCGTCATTTGAGGCCAGGAGTTTGAGACCAGCCTGGCCAACACGGTGAAACCCTGTCTCTACCAAAAACACAAAAATTAGCCAGGCATGGTAGCATACACCTGTAATCCCAGCTACTCAGGTGGCTGACGCATGAGAATCGCTCAGGAGGCAGAGGTTGCTGTGAGCCAAGATTGCACCACTGCATTCCAGCCTGGGCAACAGAGGGAGACTCTCTCAGAATAAGAATAAGAATAAGAAGTGCTCATAATTAAACATTTTAGGAAGTCCAGAAATGCATCTTAAAAGGGGGGAAAAGTCTCCTATTATCCCCAAGGAAAGGGACAGAAGTCCTGATGACCGAGATACCCAGCAAAGCAGGAGCTGCGAGCATGTTAAGGAAGGGAGGGAAGATCTTACCCAAGGGGAGATAACAGGAGTCTTCCCTGCCCAACTCACACCCCTGCATCTTCCTCCCTGCAATGACGTCCTCCTCATCCACAGGCAAGGACACCACCTTCTCCCAGCGGTAAGTCTGTCTAGACTCTTGGACCTGTGAGAGTCTCTTCCTTTTGCACCTTCCAAGCATTCACTCACTATTCACAATTCCCAATTCCCCATAAGCAAAATCTGTCTCTTTTCTCTGCTTTCTTTTCCAGGCTCCCCAGTCGAAACATCTGTGTACTCCACGATGACAGGAGCCAAAGATCTCACTGTGGGAATCTTCCATTGTCCCTAACACGGGGCTAAGCACATGTTGATTTTTAGAAGGGAAAGAAAGTACATGTCACCTAAACCAGAAGAAAATCTCCCAATCATGGATATTTGGATCCAGAGTGTATGTTTATGATGACAGTTGCCTTTTGGAACAAAATATAGTACCAGGCTAGGGCAGTTGTCTTGTCTCTTCTTTCTCCCCATTTTTTTTTTTTTTTTTTTTTGGGACAGGGTCTTGCTCTGTCACCCGGGCTGGAGTACAGTGGTGTGATCTCAGCTTGCTGCAATCTCTGCCTCCCGGGTTCAAATGATTCTCATGCCTCAGCCTCCTGAGTAGCTGGGACTACAGGCACATGCCACCACGCCCAGCTAATTTTTATATTTTTAGTACAGACAGGGTTTTACCATGTTGGCAAGGCTGGTCTCGAACTCCTGACCTCAAGCAGTCTGCCCGCCTCAGCCTCTCAAAGTGCTGGGATTACAGGCGTGAGCCAGTGCACCAGGCCTTGTTTATTCTTTTTTTCTTAAGTTTGTGATCAGATTCCTACTTCCTCAGGGAGGAGGGGAATAATGTTCCTTAACTGGCTGAGTCAGTGCCGTGCTGGACTGCGGCTGCTGGCCACATGTGGCTGTTTACATTTAAACTAAAATTACTTGAAATGAAATACAATTTAAAATTCAGCTCCTCGGCTGCACGAGCCATATCTCAGGTGCTCACAAGCCACAGGGCTGGGGGCCGCTGGACTGGATGGTGCAGAGGCCGTTTCCATCACTGCAGGAAGCTCTTTGAGCCCCGTGGTTCTCAAGCAGGGGCAACCTACCCCACCTCCCCCACCTCCCCTGGGCACATGCGGCAATGTCCAGAGACCCCGCAACTGGAGCGGGTGCTATGGTATGTAGAGGGTGGGGGCCAGGGATGCAGATGAATATCCTATAATGTACAAGGTAGAGGCCCCCACAACAAAGAACAGTCCATCCCCAAATGTTCATAGTGCTGAGATTCAGAATCCTCTCCTGGCCTCCTGTGGTTCAGCCTCACTGGGCAAGCGGGGAGGTGGTAGAAGGAAGTAAGGGGAAATCATTTTATTTGGGAATAAAAATATAGGCTGGGCACAGTGGCTCACGCCTATAATCCCAGCACTTTAGGAGGCTGAGGCAGGAGCATTGCTTGAACCTCGGAGTTCAAGACCAGGTTGGGCAACACGGTGAGACTTATTCTTTACCAAAAAAATCAAAAAATTAGCTGGGTGTGGTGGCACACACCTGTAGTCAGTCCCAGCACTGTGGGAGGCTGAGGCGAAAGGATCACTTGACCCCAGGAGATTGAGGCTACAGTGAGTCCTGATCGCACTCCAGCCTGGGAAACAGAGCAAGACTTTCTCTCAAAAAAAAAAAAAAAAAAAAAGAAGTATACACAAAGAGATGCAACAATTAACAAAATGTGCTGCATTCATACAATGATTCATCCCTAAAAAGTAAGGAAATTTGGGGCCACGTGCAGTGGCTCATGCCTATAATCCCAGCACTTTGGGAAGCTGAGGTGGGCAGATCAACTGAGGTCAGGAGTTTGAGACCAGCCTGGCCAACATGGTGAAACCCCATCTGTACTTAAAAAAAAAAAAAAAAAAAAAATCAGCCAAGTGTGATGGCACGTGCCTATAATCCCAGTTACTCAGGAGGCTGAGGCAGGAGAATCAATTGAACCCAGGAGGCAGAGGTTGCAGTGAGTCTAGATCGCGCCACTGCACTCCAGTCTGGGCAATAGAGCAAGACTCTGTCTCAAAAAAAAAAAAAAAAAAAAAAAAGAGTAAGGAAATTCTGATATATGCTGTAATGTGAATGAACCTTGAAAACATGATGCTACTGAAATAAGCCAGACACAGAGGACAAACACTGCAGGGTTCCACCCACGTGAGGCCCCTGGAGCAGTCAAATCCACAGAGACAGAAAGTAAAATGGAGGTAAAGTAGATGGTGGTGATGGCTGCACAACAGTGAATATATCTAATGCCACTGAAGTGTACACTTGAAAATGGTTGGCCAGGCACAGTGGCTCACGCCTGTAATCCTACACTTTGGGAGGCTGAGGCGGGTGGATCACCTGAGGTCAGGAGTTTGAGACCAGCCTGGCCAACATAGTAAAACCCCGTCTCTACTAAAAATACAAAAATTAACTGGGCGTGGTGGCACGTGCCTATAATCCCATCTACTCGGGAGGCTGAGGCGGGAGAATCGCTGGAACCCGGGAGGTGGAGGTTGCAGTGAGCCGAGATTGCGCCACTGCACTCCAGCCTCGGCGACAGAGCGACACTCTGTCTCAAAAAGAAAAGTAAGAAAAGAAAGAAAGAAAGAAAAGAAAGAGGGAGGGAGGGAGGGAAGGAAGGAAGGAAGGAAGGAAGGAAGGAAGGAAGGAAGGAAGGAAGGAAGGAGGGAAGGAAGGAAGGAGGGAAGGAAAGAAAATGGTTAACATGGCTACATTTTGTTACGTATATTTTACCACAATAAAAACAGGAGACAGATGAATGAATAAGTCAAACAGGTCTCGTGCACAGTATCAACAGACGTCACGCAAGCTTTCCGCCCTCCCAATGGCAGAAAGGGTTTCTCTGCCTTGCACGTCTCCAGCATCCTGCACACACCTCCCTTTTAGGAGCAAAAGGCAAAAATGCTCACTTTTTTTGTCTACTAATCTCAGATTTCCTAGGAAATTGGCAGGTAGGTGAACATTCACTAGCATTCTCTGACAGGAAGTGGCCGAGAGGGCACCGTTCAGTGTCAGGGCTCCGTACCCTGCCTCACTGTTCCTTAGCTACTCCACCTCCCCACTCCTTGAGCCTGGGAAACAAGCCTTGGAAGGCGTCTAGGAACAGCCCCACTTCGGTGTGAGCCTCCGGCTGATGGCCCCACTCATACACACCTGCAATGAGATATTCCTTCTTTCCTCCAACGTCCAGCGAGACCCCACATACTGCCGAGGAGGGGGCCGTGTAGATAAACTCTATATCCTTCTCAGGCCCTTTGAACATCTGGAAAGACAAGGAGGAGGACATGTAAGCAGAGGGAGGCTGCACAGTCGGGGAATTTCGTTCCCATCCAGAACACCGCGGGCGGCACAATCTGTATCCGGGGTGTAGCCAGCACCAAAGAGGACCAGGAAGTGCAAATTGCATGGATTAGAGAAGGACCGTTACAGCTGGGCTCAGGGCTCATGGCTGTAATCCTAGCACTTTGAGGGGCTGAGGTGGGTGGATTGCTTGAGGTCAGGAGTTTGAGACCAGCCTGGCCAACGTAGCAAAACCCCGTTTCTACTAAAAACACAAAAATTAGCTGAGCGTGGTGGCAAGTGCCTGTAATCCCAGCTACCTGGGAGGCTGAGGCAGGAGAATCCCTTGAACCCGCGAGGTGGAGGTTGCAGGGAGCTGAGATGGTGCCACTGCACTCCCACCTGGGTGACAGAGTGAGACTCCATCTCAAAAAAAAAAAAAAAAAAAGGAAGGCTGGGTGTGGTGGCTCAAGCCTGTAATCCCAGCACTTTGGGAGGCCGAGATGGGTGGATCACAAGGTCAGGAGATCGAGACCATCCTGGCTAACACAGTGAAACCCCGTCTCTACTAAAAATACAAAAAACTAGCTGGGCGAGGTGGCAGGCGTCTGTAGTCCCAGCTACTCGGGAGGCTGAGGCAGGAGAATGGCGTAAACCCGGGAGGTGGAGCTTGCAGTGAGCTGAGATCCGGCCACTGCACTCCAGCCTGGGCGACAGAGCCAGACTCCGTCTCAAAAAAAAAAAAAAAGAAAAAAAGAAAAGAAAAAGACTTTTTATAGCGAAGTGATTCTTTGGAGTCACTCAACTTTTAGTGTGGCAGATCACAGCAGGTGGGCACAAGACTGTCATCTGGAGCGTGACATCCTCAGACAACACCTCTGTCCCCTCACCCCCCCCCCCCCGCCCCAATGAGGTCATTTCTGAATCTCTGGGGAGGGGCTTTTTTACCTCTGCATGACTCTGGACCACCATGAAGGACCATGACTTTTGCATATTTTTTTTGAGATAGGGTCTCACTCTGTTGCCCAGGCTGGGGCTACAACCTCAACTTCCCAGGCTCAAGTGATCCTCCCACCTCAGACTCCCGAGTAGCTGGGACTACAGGCGTGTGCCACCATGCTCGGCTTTTTTTTTTTTTTTTTTTTTTTAAATTAGTAGAGACGAGGTCTTGCTCTATCACCCAGGCTGGTCTCAAACTCCTGAGCTCAAGCAATCCTCCTGCCTCGGCCTCCCAAAGTGCTGGGATTACAGGCATAAGCCACTGCGTCCTACCCATATTTCCAGGAATTTCGATCAAATATTGTCTACTTGATGGCAGTGAGAGCAGAGAGGCACCTCAGGAGTTAGGACATAACTCCATGGGCCAGAGGAGCTTGCATTCTCAACATCTGATTTACTCACAGCCTTTCAGGAACACACCTGCTGCCCCCAGGCGAAGAATGGCATTTTCCCAGCACTTGGGGAGGCTGCTTTTTCCCCCCCTGAAGAGTTTCAATAAGCAAACCCAAATGGAATGGGAGCATGCCTGATGTCGTGACAAATGGTTTTCTGAGAGTGACACTCCAACTTGTACCAAGAAAAGTTATGTTGATGCTTTCCTTGGCACTGACACTGGCCTTTTCACGACCCCTTTATGAGGTCGTAAGAGCAGATCCTCTTTCCTGCCTCATAAAGAAAGAGGCTCAGGCACTGACAGACTACGTCATCCCCTTAAACTGACATAGATGTGATGATAAAGCACTCCACTGACCTTCTGATAACACTGATTTTCAACTACTTTTTTTTTTTTTTTTTGAAATGGAGTTTCGCTCTTATCGCCCAGGCTGGAGTGCAGTGGCATGATCTCAGCTAACTGCAACCTCCACCTCCTGGGTTCAAGTGATTCTCTTGCCTCAGCCTCCCAAGTAGCTGGGATCACAGGCGCTCACCACCATGCCCAGCTAATTTTTTTTTTTTTTTTTTTTTTTTTTTTTTTGGGCATGATCTCAGCTAACTGCAACCTCCACCTCCTGGGTTCAAGTGATTCTCCTTGCCTCAGTTCTTCCCAAGTAGCTGGATCACAGAGCCACCACCATGCCCAGCTAGTTTTTTTTTTTTTTTTTTTTTTTTTTTTTTGAGACGGAATCTTGCTCTGC